TTCCGTCAGTGGGTCCCTCCCGAGTTTGAAACCTGGACTACTTACCACAGCCTGTCTGGGCAACTTGGGTAGCATCACACCAGCCCTCATACTATAAAAAAAGTGCGGGTTATAGTTTGGAACATGACAGATCTGTTCACAAAAAGTTCTTTTGTGTAGTTAATCATCAATGCCTTCGGTTTTTTTATTGGATACTGGTTAGCAACTAGCGCAATGTGTGTCTAGTCCTTTGTTTAGAGCAGACTGAATTTTTATCAGTCAAGTTTGCAATGTGACCAACATGCCACTCGGTGGCTCGACATCACCGTTGCACTGTGAATTGTTGATATTACATGGTTAGAGGCGACCGGTAGGAAGCCTCGCCTGCCCTAGGTTTCATGCTTGTTATCATTCACCAGTCGATGAGGCGTATCTCTGCAGTCTTGAAGGATCTCATGTCCCCTCTGAGATTGGAACGCATGTCATCTATTCCCGACCTGATTGAATTCAGTTTGCACTAAACAAAGGACTAGACCCATGACACTGACCACTTACTATCCAGTGTCCAATCAAGGCATCCAGTACATTCCTACAGGAGGTCAGTCGTGATCCCGAATAGCTCAGTGGTATTGTCTCTCTAACTGCAGCACTCACTGGGTGACATGGGTTCGAATCTCAGAAGGGATGTGAGTTACTTCAAGACTGCAGAGATACGCCTTGTCGACTGGTGACTGACAACAAGCACGAAACATAGGCCTGGCGAGGCTTCCTGTCGATCGCCTCCAGCTGTCTAATGCCTTCGGATTTGATTGTAATATTATCCAATTTCGCTTCTGATTCCTTCGCGTTCCGAGTGGAACACACGTTGTCCAGCTTCGAGCTTGGGCTTTGAAGTTTCAGCAGCTCTGGGATGAAGTTGCCAACGTCACGTTAGTCCAACTACCTTTCCACCCTTTTGTGGGTTTACTATCAAGTTAGTACAGTTAGTAGGCGAGATTTTATTGTAATGTCGCCAAGTTTAATGCACGAGTGCTCATTGACGATAATGTGAACACGACAATTGATAATTTTCTGGTTGATCAACTATTCTCTGAAACTGAGAAGTGAGGGAGAGAGTGTGTATTTGTGTGTGTGTGTAACCAAGAGTACGACATATATTATTGATCTATTTACAAGGTTTGAATAGTGTAGGCGTTGACTGACTAACTGCACGCTAGATTCTGATTGGCTGACACCAATCACGTGACAATCGATGTGATTTGTTTTTAGCTGAATAACAATAACAGACTAAATAAGATAAATTGTGGTAATATCAGGCTTAGGAGGGAATCGAGTCGGCTGGGAATAATCGAACCTGAACCATCTAAGAGGTAGTTGGTGCGCGTTCTACCATTGAAAAAGAAACCGGCGCCCTACTCTTATTTCAACTTACATAAATACCCAATATTTTATTTATTTATTTAAACGCAGAAAACACTTCGTACAATATGGCACAAAGAAAGATGCGCCACACAATAATAATAAAAAAACATAGATTAAAAGTAAAAATATAAGTAGAAAACGGATAAAGAACTTCATCTGGAAGGAAAACAGTCATGTTTAACAAGTTCAAACAGTATTCGTTAACTATCATCGGGAAGGGAAGAAAGAAGGAAATTGCAACACGTTCGCCATTGACTACGATTCTTGGCCATATCCGATAACGTTTCGAGCCATCGATTCGAGCTATCTCGCGGACCCCAACCAGGGAGTCGTGACACACCAACCGATGCTAATCTAGCACAAATATCCTTCATCCCACGATGCCACTTTGTGGACTGACCACCCCTCCGCCTTTTCCATCCCGTCTCAGGGTGTGGCTAGCGAACAGAGACCTGCACGGAAGCCTCTGGGATGACATTCACAGCACATGTACAAGCCACTGGAGCTGGTGTTTCCAGAGGACGACACTCAATGAATGGTGATCTCCACTGTGTTCAAACACACGCCACCGAACCTCAGAATTACTCACGCGATGATGCCATCGAACTCAAGCAATCCTGCAGAGATAACGATGATCGAACACGCAGAGTCGCCGTACATCCTCAGCTCGGAGAGGCCAGGTTTCACAGGCGTAGAGCAAGACAGCCCGCACCGAAAATACCCAATATGACTTATTATCACATTAGAAGACATTGTGAAAGTGTGGTTTATTGGCTTAAGCCAATGATTTTCAAGGCAGAGTCTCAGGGTAACTCTAAACATAAGCAACCCAAACGAAAGATCGAATTAAACGGACGTAATGACCTTAACCGACCAATCAAATGAGCCCATAGTAAAAACGTGGAAATATATAGGTGCAGTACACGAATTACATTGTGTACTCCATTATTAAGAGGTAGTATTTGAATACTGTCGGGATAAAAGGCTTATAGGAAACTTGTACATGTGGAGGAGGATTGTCTTTACGAAGGTGTGCAGCCGTTGTTAACGGATATATGTACAGATATGTCCAGGTTCTGTCGTTATAGAAAGTCTGTCCGAGAAGATATATCGTTCCTGTTTTAAGTTCATAGGTTCTATAGAGCAGGGAATAGGTCATGAAACAGCATGACATACAATTATCTGGGTGGATTTATGTACAGGAATAGGTCTGGACTATCACTGAAGATTCCAGTAAGAAATTAAGAGGTTCTTTTGGGAGGCATACGCGAAAGTTACTCCGTGTAATTATTTTTCAATACTACCTGTAATGTCTATAGAAGAATTTTTAAATTACGCGTATTTACTACGGGTTCATCTTATTGGTTGATCAAGATCATTACGCCTGTTGACTGTGTCTTTCTTTGGGGTTGCTATAGTTTAGAGTTGGCAGTCTTGGGATCGAACCCTGGTTCACTTATTTCAGCCTCTGCAAACTGGGTAGTATCTTATCAACTTTTGCACAATAACTGTACGGCTGATAGCGCAGTATTTGAGAAATCTATTCCGAGTAACTGTGTACTGACTAGCTGGACTAATTAGCTTGGTGAACTTATATTAGATGTACCTATACACCGGTTAATCTCAAACTAATAAGTGACAGCTTCGAATTTTGTCTTTACTGACGACGTTTTCGTTAATAACATATGTGGTTTGTGAAATATATTGGTATTTGAGGTGTGACTCAATGATCTAGGCAAGTCGACTTCTAACCATTGGGTTAGTGTTTTTTAAACCCTACTCTACCTACCTACCGAGATTTGAGTAACCAGGGTAGCCAATATTACTAGCTTTCACATACAATAGGTATGGTTAACTGCCCCAGCATGCATGCAAATAGTTGTTGTCGGGATTCGAACCTGTAACCTATTAGTTGAAAATCGAATAATTAAACTAGTGAATCTCAATTCTACTTTCTCTAAAGTAAAAAAAAATCCATCCTAGCTATAATGTTTGGTTATCTGCTCCGTCGTATGATAATTCACTCCACAGCGTCTGAGGGATTGACTTCTTACCACGGAATAATCTCCTTCACTTAGAATATGCGGATGATATAATCTCCCCTCTTAGGTGGAGCAGCAATCTTCGAATTTTTTGCATGCTAATCGCTCCCGTGAAATGTAAGATGATGCTACAGGACCGGACTACATCGACTCACTCCTGGCTTAAAGACATAGCAGAGTGAAGTGATTGTTGAGTGCGTTGACTACTTTACATATTTGGGAAGTTGTATCAGCCAGCCCCAACAAGTTGATCGATCGCTGACGAAATCTCAGCACGGATATACAGAAGGCTCGTTCTGTATATGTCCGCTAACTTACACCATCTCTGGCTTAGTAGACGTAATATCCGACTGAATGTCGACCAAACGATGCGTGTACTGCACAGTAGCAGTTCACTCCTTCCTCCTTTATCGCTGTGAGTGAGATATGGCCATTGGAAGTGGAAGACATGAAAAGCCTAGCTAGCTGTCTTTGATCATATGTCTCTGCATTCTATGTCCCATCTTATTTCATTCCTTAAGCGTTCCGAGTGGAACATAGGACTTCAAACTTCAGCTTTGCAGTTTCAGGAGTAGTGGTTGCATTTTACGCCCAACCTTCCTTTTTTTCGGTTTTACAACCGGCTAAAGGAAGTAAAGTTGTGTCTCCCTCATCCCGAAAATCGGACCCCAAACCTCCCATTTTAAGAGGTGGTATAATAGAGTGGGTAAAACTGAAGTTAGGCGTCGAGGGCTAGGTAAGGAAAGGAAATCAATCGACGAGTTTGTGAAGTTGTATCGATTGAGATGGTTAGTTCCTAATGGAACTAGAGTTTCAGTGTCACGTCTCCATTTCAATCTGCTCTCTATTGTCATTTTTAGCTGGCTCCACCACTGCCTGCAAGCATTGCCTCTTCACATAATCTTCTCCATGTCATCCTCCAATGCCCAACCTGTTGCCCCCCGGTTCAACTCAAGGGACTGGCGTATGACTCGTATCACTTGGAAGTCTTCTCAGTGTATATCCAAACAGTCTCCATTTCTTTCTGTGTATTTGTTGGTTAGGCATTATGTTGTCCTCTAGTTCTGTGCCTGTCATATTTCCGTATATTTAATTCTATTTTAGATTTTCCCATCGATTGATTGGACCGAAGTGTTCGGTCTCAGGTAGACACATGTCTGTCAGCTTCTTATGCATATGTTTCGACGATGTCTGGGCATGTAATTAGAAGTTAATTGACGGATGGTGACTAGCAATGGCCCAAGTGGTCCAGTGGATAACGCGTTTTGGCGTTTGAAACTACGGGCCTCAGTGGGAACATGATCACTCACTGCGGTATACAGGTACATCCAACTGGAAAACGCCTCCCAAATAGGAGGAAATACGCTTTATCCCGCATTCCACTGCTAGTCACCGTCCACCAATTAACTTATAGTTCCTTCCGTATAGCCTATTTTTTCCGGTTATCCGATGTAACTGAACCTTAATACATAATTATTCTTAACATCTTTTGTATCCGCATCGCATATTCAACTCTCTGTTTCTTATTCCTATTTTTTTTACTTTGATATATATTAGCCAAATTCGTACATGTCATATACCAATTATCATAAATCACATAAACTGGATCTATCAAGAGAGTCTTCAGCGATGAGTAGTAGCAGTGCTTTCTCTCCTAGTTCTATTAATAACGACTCTAGACATTCACCTATCCGACGTATATCGAATGGATTTACTTCTGCAATGACAACATCAAAACTTAACGCAACTAATTGTTGTCTTAATAATAATATATCTGGTATATCAGATTCAGGATCAACAACTACCAGTAGTAATGCTACACCGCATACGACTACCGTGTGTTCTAAAGAAAATGCACTGTCACCAAAATCGGAACGATATAGCTTAAAACGACCACCGCCAGACTCGCCAAGTTCATTTCCATCATCTCCAGCTAAACTTTCTTACAATTTTCATCCATCTTCAAGTCCACCTCTACTGATATCTGAAGTACCACCGAGTAGCTGTAATCGTACAACGCAGATTCATCCACAGATTCGTCGACCGTCGGATTCTACACTGATAACTGTTAATAGTGTTAATACTTCTGGCAGTTTATCATGTTCAAATAACAACAATAATAATAATAATAGTAAAAATTCAAGTGCATTTTATGCTGTTTCTATGCAAGATAATGCAAACTCTCTGCAACAACGATCCCTTCAATCAACTATCGCGACTACAACAAATATGCCTATTTCTAATAATGGGATTATGTTGCCTCGACCATTGGATTCATCTCATTCAATGACAAATGGTGGGGGTTATCATCGATCAATGTCTCATCAACCGCATCATCATCAGTTTCATCATCAGTCTGACCAACAAATAATATCACAACAACACCACCAACAACAAAATCATGCACCGTTTACTTCTCTATCCTGTTCCCCTCCACATCTTCATCATCAACAGACATGTTCCATGCAACAAAATCAACGTAATGCTGTTGTGTCTAAGGAGAATAATCCTTTTCTATGTACACATCCTTATCTTGGTTTATTAGTTTCTTCTGGTCCAATGATGAATGGTTTATGTGCGCACACACCGCCTATCAATAGTAGTACTAGTGGTAATGGGAGTGGGGGCGGTAGTGGTGGTGGGAATATTCCACTTCTTCTTAGCAGTTCCGGTTGTTCATCTAGTGGCAAATCAACACCACGTCAACCAGCAAAAAAGCGCCCAGAGGCTAGAACGCCTACAATCGATGGTTCATGTGATGAAATGCCATTAGGTAGTGGTGGTGGGGGTGGAAGTGGTGGTGGTCCTTCATCATCGAATACACTTTCATCAATTTGTAATTTTGATGATTCACATTCACATTTGTCAACATCATCATTGGAGTCAACAACGAATACATTTATGGTACATCATAATACACCATTTGGTAAGTTTCTTTTTTGTTGTTGTTGAAAAAAATGTACTTTAATACACAGTGTGTGTGTGTGTGTTGTTCTTCGTCATGTTCGTTAATTCAAAGTAATAATGACATCGGTTAGAGAACCATTGGAAATACTGGACAGCCATCTGTTTCGTCCCAGTTTGGGACTCTTCGTCAGTATTCACCCACCTCCAGAATTCCAACCCCAGCGAGCGAGCTTTGTAGACCACTGGGGCCCGATTCAGCTCATGAATTCCTGCTTCTGTCAATTCATGATATTAGCGCGACTGGCACTAGCCAGTGTTATCGGTGGCGAGTATTTGTCCTCACACTCGACCTGCTGGTGGACTCCACTGGTCACGACTTCCCAGTAGAACTCAGGTAGCTACCTACCTGAATAGGACCGATCACTAATGAGCATCAGATTGATATTCAGATTGATTGTTCGGGAGTAAAAGACAAACTGCCTAATTTCGCCTCTTCCATGTGTACCTACCAATTTAACTGCTCCTGTGGAGTGAGCCAGTTACATAGGCCTTACAATTAGGCGTGTTTCTCGTCGAACATCACCCTGCGTGGTTGGTTAAGCAAAGGACAAATAAAATCTATTCGCAGCGCTATTCTGTCACATCTTGTGGATACAGAACACAAGATTGACGTTAACCATGCTTTCAGGGTAATTTATCTCATACCTGCGAATCTCAATTTTGCCTTAAGAGTTCGACTACTAAATATTGCTGAGGCTGTGTGGATCCATATTATTAAGTCTAATTTATGCATCCAAAAGAAGTTAGTTCAGACATTATCATTACCTTGGTCATCCAGGTTTGAATGATCCTCAATTTGTTGTGGAACTTTCCTAATTTTAGTTGAAATTCCATTTGCCACTATATCTTTATTATTATTATTATTATTATAATTTAAGCATCTTTAATGCACTGTAATTCCGTTGTGATCTTACTTAACAAATCGATATTATTTAAAAGAACACCAATATTGTAATTGACTACTATTCTAGAATATTCTGCGTATATAAACATGCAGATTCAATTGTAGAGCCAGAAGAGGAATTTATCGAAAAGGATATTCTTTGCTGGCTCAAATATTTTGTGTTTTATAGATGTCTGAATGAATATTTTTGATATTCAACTGTTGGTTTGCAGGAATTTGATTTGATTAGTTACAAGACTTCGTTCATCATGAACTGACATGGGTTAGAGAACCATTGGAAAATCAGCTGGGGAGTACTTGGCAGCTGTTTCGTCCTAGTTTGGGACTCGACTCATCATCAGTATGTACCCGCCGCCATGGTTCGAGCCTAGGTGTCGGTGTTTACACGGGATATATATATATATATATATATATAGTAGCGCGGTGTTGTTGTTTTCGTCTCATTTGGGCGTTAAGTGACTGTATTCCACACTTGATCTATAGATTTAGATCAATAAACCTACTATATCAGACGAAAAACTGCAAGGTGCACATATATATTCGCTTAATTAGTAATTCCAAAGCCCTTTTTGGTTTATTTTATTTCACACATTGTTGATTAGTCATTTTTGCATTAATCTAACTCGTTTTATCTATCTAGTGTGAATTTAGAGAAGAAAAAAAATTTTTTGACTCGCCATAATATAACAAACGTTAACTGTGTCTAGATGGTGTTGTTGTTTTAGATACAATTACGCGTATGAAATTGTGTCGGTACGACCATTTTCTGTGTGTGTGTGTGTGAGTGACAAACTTCACACCAGTGTAAGTGGTGTGTGTAGAGTCTAGGCGTAGAGTGTGGGGTTGTGTGGTTAGTTGGTTTAAACGCTCACTTGCCTTCCAACCACTGGGGGGAATGGTCATGGGTTCGAACCCTGTTACACCTACTGACGTTTGAGCAGCTAGGTGGCTAGCATCACTGACCAGTTGGTGTGGGTCATTTTATCAAGTGTATGGAATTGCAAAACCATTGGTTGGGTAAGTAAAATTTATTTTGACTTTGCTGGGGGTAGGTAGAGTAGGAGAGTCTTCGGTAATTTGGGTAAGTTATTATTCGACAAACTGGTCGAAGAAGCAGCCAGAGAAGACAGGACTCAAGGTAAACATAGACAAGACAGAGGTTATGAAAATAACCAACCAACAACAACAACAGCAGCAGCAACATCCAGCGCCAATCACCATCAACGGGAGGGATTTGAACGAGGTTACTTCATTCACTTATCTAGGTAGGGAGCATTGTCTCAAATACAGGAGGAACGAAAGAGGATGTCAAATTGACAATCGGGAAGGCGAGAAACACATTCATCAACCTGAAACCAATCTGGAAATCCTCGTCACTCAACTCAGCATCAACAACAAAATGATTCGGATTTTCAATACAAACGTCAAGTCAGTCACTTCTATATGGATCAGAAACTTGGCGGGTCACCAAGAATATTTCCAACAGCCTGTTGCAGACCCTAATCAACAACTGTCTTCGCTCTATACTACTGAAGATCAGATGGCCGGAAAGAACAAGAACCAACAAGAAACTATGGGAACAAACAAAACAAGAACCAATCGCCCAACAAATATGCAGGAGAAAGTGGAGATGGATTGGACACTCGCTGAGGAGACCGCTGGATGACATCGCGGGTCAGGCCATTGCTCGAATGGAACTCGAAAAGGAAGCGGCGATTGGGACGTCCAAGGTTGACATGGAGGATATCGTGTGAAGAGGAGCTGAAACAGTATGAACTAGCATGGATGCAAGTGAAAAGCAGAGCAGAAGACAGAAGCAAGTGGAGACGTGTAGTTGAAGCCCAATGTTCCACTAGGAACCCAAGGGAACAATAATAATAATAATATTCTACATGGGTTTGCAAAGTTTCATCGACTGTGGTGGTGATTGTGATATCTGTAATGCCCCTCTACCTACCTAGTCACTGGTACCTCGAAGTGTTATGTTAACAGAACTAATGATAGACTGAATTAAACTACTCTAATTACCTCGACTTCACAGTAGTTCATCATCCCAATCAGACTGGGAGTTATTACCTGGCGAACTATTTATTTTCTCCAATGTTTGATTACCGATACAACTTTGATTCTTTTATGTTCACAAGAGTTAGATTGTACGGGTTTGATTGACGTGAAGTTTGATCATGGATTGATGAGTGGTGAGTTAGAGAACCATTAGAAGTCAGCTGTGAGTACTGGACAACCGTTTCATCCTATTTTTGGAATTAGTATCGCAGACCCCCTTAGATTACGAGGTCTGTGCTAGTTGACCCCATTCATCCACAGTGGGATGAAATCGAATGACGAGCCTATGAATTCTAATTTTTATCAATTCGTTATTTTTTTTAACGCCACAGCTAGCCAATGCTACATCGGTGGATACTTGTGCACCTACACTCGGCCTGGTGTTGGACCCCACTGATCATGACTTGTCATTAATGCAGTTGAATTGGTAGATACAATTTGAAGTGGCTAGTCTAGGTACTTCATCCTTCAGTCGAGGAATCACCACCGTCGGTCGTGTGGAGAGAGAATAAGACGTGTAGTCTGCCAGAGCATTAAAAGTTCTTTGAACTGATTTTCTCAGTTTCCTCGTAATTATCTCACCCTTGAATTGTAGTCGTATGTATATAAAGAGGCTTCTTGTTTACAGATAGTGAGTAGTCAGCCCTTTACCGCCGCTTTCTTTGTCATGTGTTTCTTGATAAATTTATTGTTATTATATGTTTTCTTTATTCTATCCATTTCTATTCACAGTCCCCGTGCATGGTAGATCTGGACGACCTAGTTCTACAGAATTGATTCATCCAAGCTTAGGCGGTTATATAAACAGTAATCCTGGTTCTAATAGTCTTTCATCATCATCATCCAACTCTTCCTCCTCCTCGTCATCTGCGTCATCCTCGTCATCAACGACGACGACGTTGACGTCGACGACAACAGCAGCAGCAGCAACAACAACATCATCTATAATGACGACAACAACCAACTCATTGAACAATTCACCAGGGAAACAAATTTCTGACAATAAATATCAGATGGCAATAATGACTACTGGCAGTAATCGTCCTAATCATCACCAACATCATCTGTCGTCTACAAAACTGGATCATAGGAATACTGATGAAGACGAAGAAGAAGCTGAAATGGATCAAGAATTGGTTGATATTATGGTTGGTCTGAACGGTGGTGTCGGTGGTGGTGGTGGTGGTGGTGAGTCAAAGTTCCCCTTTTCATCATCAGCGAGTCATTCAAATAACCTATCGATTGGAGGACAACATCAACAACAACAACAACATCCCCTGATGATGGCTAATAATCGTCATCAACAGCATCATTTGCTTGGTAATGACATTGGTGCTAGTCCTGATGGTCGACGAGTTATAGCTGCTATGGTTGCAGCTTTGGCAAATGTCAGTAATTCTCCGCTATTGGATGGGTATGTTTGCTAAAGCATTTTTTTAAAAAATGTGGTAATTGTTTAAAGAACATGATGCGTTGCTTTTCCAGGCTTTTAGCGTCATTCTGTCTATTGTGGGTGTGGTGTGACCAAGTATTATCAGCTAACGGGCAATGTTAGCTGATATAGTGTCAGGCTGGAAAAGAGCTAGCCAGCGGCGGTCAAACGAAAACATGGCACCAGTCAATGAAATCTACAACAGTTAGTCTAAGCCACGTAGGAAGGTGTAGACTTCCTGGTTGGGGTCCTCGGGACGGTAAAAACCAATGAAGGCTGGAAACAATTGGTGACATGGCTCAAAATCGTTCTCAATGCATAGTGCAGATGCATCCACTCCTTGTGACTTATGATTTCCAATGAAACTGTTTTGTTCTTCGTTATTACTATTCCTTTGTCTCACACCTCTGTTTACTGTCTTTATTATGCATTTCTTCTACTTTCTTCTCTTGCTTTGTGTGCTACATGGGAGGAGTGTGGCGACTTGAACTGCTGCACATATGTGCAAAGTTCTATGTCGAAAACAGAACAGAACAGAGATTATATAACCTTCTTTGAGTTGGTTGAATTGGTTGCACGAAGGCCGTCATCGTATTTCTAAGATAACATCTTCAACGTCTAACTTCAAGATAGGTCTGATTTGTACATGGACTTGTAATTGGCGCGCAATGTTTTAATTTGACCCTCCATAACTCCTTTTCCAGCTTAGTCACTTTGTCAGTTAACATTGCTTGACAATGAAGTTGATGACTCGTGGTGGTATGCATCATAACTGGTGTCTTTAAGCATCTTTAGCGATTCAGCTTTACAACTTCACTGTGACTGGCTCTTTCCCTCCTCTCCTAACACTTGACCTAACGCCTAACTTCGCTATTACTCACTATAGTTTGCTAATTAACACACAGGAGATAGGACGTCAACAGTTATGGTGTAGGAAAGGCGGGTAACCTCTTCATTATTCGTCCACTTTCAACTGTTCGACTGAAAGCTACCGCCTTGATGTGGTGGTCACACTTGTGTATATCAGTGACTCCCCCCCAACAACAAGTTACACTAGATGGAATTATGGTCCCTACAGGTTCTACCATTCTCAAAGAAAGTCGTTCGGATACCATCATAATATAAGTCGTTAATACAGTTATATATCAGGGACCTGAGGAAGAAGGATTAGTAAAGGTTGATTCTGAAGGTTGTACATTCCAAGTTATACCTTGCGCCAACAGTCTATAGCCGGTGGTAAGATCTTAATACGGACATAACTCTGTGAAACCAACTCAAACAGACTGTGTTTGATTGACTTGGCTCAACGGCCATACAACACTAATCCTCCTTCTGTTTCGCTTATTTCAAGAAGAAATCGACCTCCATAATGTGAGCAGGCGGGGGTGTAAAGACCGCCCACACACTTCCGTCATCACTATCAATGATCATGTCTCAGCCTTTATTATTATTATTATCATCATTAAAACACAAACTTGGTACATTATGCGGGCACCGATTGGTCTCATAGTTTGTACGAGGACTGGGATACTGCCCGAGCGCCTAGACCGAAGCAGGTTGTCATCTTAAGGGAACACCCCGAGCCCTTGACTTGAAGCTTTGATCAACATGGAAGTGGAGGGGGGCAGCGTCTGGAGCTACCTTTCCACAGTTTCCGGTAGGCAAAACAAGTTGTTTTGCCATTCAATGCGTTCAGATTCTGGAGTCCATGTATATAACCATAAGTTTGGGATCAGGGTTTACCGGCTCCTCTAGGTTGGGTAGACCTACCTGCATGTCAACCAGTCTAGTTATATGAGCATGACGTTTGAATTCCACCTTTCACTTATGTGAAGAATCTCTCATCCACCATGTGAAAGCAGTGATGAATAGGACATACCTACTGGCAGAGGCTATAAACACATGTGACCATTTAAGAGGATTTCGAGAGTAAGACCCTAGTCTGTCCAACTCCAGACGTACCTGGTCAGCTTTAAGGGCTTTAGGCCTTAAAGTATATCACATTATACTTTGTTTCGGGCAACAGTAAAGAATAGACACCAAAGTCGAACGACCTTGAAACAACCAATCAGATTCTTTCAGGTGAGAAGTGGCATTTATTGTATTAAAAAAAGTGTATTTATAAGATGTATATGTAATGAAAATGAACTATACAGGGTATATATCCCTAATATGCTGCAAAAGTCGGTCCCAGTTCCTCATACGAGTGTTTGTAGACATATCAAACCAATGTTGATACAAAAATTCATCTATTTGGCTATATATCGTATCATATTGGGAACTATTTACCATTCTAATAGGTGGTTCCAGAATCCTTCAAAAGAATATGTATGGGTTCCATTTATAGGATCCACTAATTCGGAAGAATAATTGACACTTTGTGATGAATATAGCCTGATGATGATGATGTGATAGTTGCGAATAACCTCACCACTCGTTGTCTGTGTGTGAATGGCAGTGCCTGACAGGACTAGTCGTTGTTTATATAATTGGTATTAAAACATCGTCACTTCTGTTTGAGACGCCTTCTAACCCCCCCCTCCTTCTCCTACCTCGGCGATTCATTGATCCTTTGTGAGGCTGTGGTAACCACAGCACTGTTGACGCTTCAGCATTCTCTGTTTCCACAGTTGTAGCAGATACTGGTCGTCTCAGTAGTAGCCAGTTGTGGCATATATGCAACATTTTACTAATGCAGAGTTTCGATTTCCGGAAGAAGAAAGTGCCTAAAAAATCACCATAATGTACAGCTTACCAACTCTTACAGACTACTTCCTGCTATGACAATGATTGCATCTGAATGCATAACCATCAAGATCCCGGCAATAACTTCGCAGAGTCATTATCCCTTCACTACATATGCATGTTTTAGTCCTCTCTGTGAACCCATTTTCCACAAAGAAGTCAAAAACCAAATCTTCCAACGAAGATTATGAAGACAGCATCCATCTGTAGTGCTGAGTGACCTGATTGGTTGGTTCAAGGTCATTCGACTTTAGTGCCTACTGTGTACTCTTGCCACATATATATATATAACAAATCTTTGATAATTTGAATAAGGCATTAAGAAGACAAATTTCGCGAGATGATGGCATCATTTCGTAGCTTCTCTACAACCGCTTTACAACTAACATGGTTAACAATAATAAAATAAAGATCATGACAATTACTCAGTTAAATAAAAAAAAACAAAAGTACATACTAATGACCAATCATATTTAGATAGGTCATATTGTCCATGGTAGGCAATGGAAGATTGAAGTCTATTGTTTTTTGTACACACAGTTTAGACTGTATGTGATTAATCCCCAAAAGTGCTTCCATCACCTTCAATAACCAACCTTGAATTAGAGTTATGTGAAATAATTGTGAAACAGTCATTAATATATTGATTTTGTGACCTGACATTAATAAGTGTTTTGCAATGGATGATGCTGGATTTCTATTCAGATTAATCGCATTTTGGGATTTTCTATATGATTTAGTAGCCATTTTGGAACATGTTCTTTTCGACGACATTGGAACATTCTGTTGGTTCTACCTATATAGGTGTCACCGCAGCTGCAGGTGAACTTGTAGATACAGTTTGAAGTAGAGTCCATAGAATTTCGTCCTTTAATCGTAGGTACAAGGATCGGAAATGTTCGGCAAGTGAGAAAAAGAGATGCGGCGTCGAATGTGCGTTTGATGGCTGACCGAAGTCTTTGAGCTGTCAACTGCATAATCTGGTCGCCCTTGAATGGTAGGTTAATAAAGATAGTTCAGGTCACAAAATCAATATTAATGACTGTTTCACGATTATTTCATCATAACTCTAATTCAAGGTTGGTTATTGAAGGTGATGGAAGCACTTTTGGGGATTAATCACATACAGTCTAAACTGTGTGTACAAAAAACAATAGACTTCAATCTTCCATTGCCTACCATGGACAACATGACCTATCTAAATATGATTGGTCATTAGTATGTACTTTTGTATTTTTTTTTTATTTAACTGAGTAATTGTCATGCACTTTATTTTATTTTATTATTGTTAACCATGTTAATTGTAAAGCGGTTGTAAAGAAGCTACGAAATGATGCCATCATCTCGCGAAATTTGTCTTCTTAATGGCACAGTGGTTAAGACTCTCACCGACCATGCACATGGTCTGGGGTTCGATCCCCTGCCGACGCACACCCGATATCTATGGTCGGCCTGCAAAATTTGGGCTACCGATATCCATGCTGAAAATTCCATACTTGTACTGAAAATACGGTGTAGCGTCAAGCTGTAATCAAAATAAAATAAAATAAATATACCGACGGTTATGTGTAAATAAACTCTCACTGTGATGTTGATACTTTCAGTAGTACCATTTGACTTATCATTTCATTTAGGCGGTAATTTTGTGTTATTCCTGTTGTTTTCGTTATTGAGGCTATTCATGAGTTTTTTAATTAATTAATTAGTTTATTTATTTATTTCCGTTTTTCTCAAAGGTCATTTAACACTACATGTATATATACACACGCATAATCCTTGTTTATATTTGAGGCTATACACAATCGGTACTGTCTTAGCTTCTTTTATATATTAATTAATGCCATTTTTGGTGTGTATATACTTATACACACTGTATATTCAATGCATAAAAACAGTAGTAGTGGCATTATTTATGAAATAAAAGTACTTTGTACTTTAGCTGGACACACGGTGTTTTAACGCGTAAACGCGTATGAGACGTTAGCTTGTCTAACCGTTGTCTCTCTCTCTCGAGCGCGCGCGCGTGCCTGCTCTAGTATGCTTAGAATCTGTGTTACTATCTTCTTTGAACACTTATCCTCTTTATATTTGTGATACTAAATGTGTACAATAGCCTTAGGTAAAAAAGTTAGTCATCTGTCGGCTGTTGGGGTGGGGGAGGCGGTTCGTTATAATTTCCACGATGATATGGAATTGTGTGGTGTATTGTAGTGTAGTGGGGCGTTGACAATGACGCT